TAGCTGTAGCTGTAGCTGTGGCTCGGCCCCTTCAAGCTAATCAAATGGCATCGAATGGCAGGCGTATCGATTAGATTCTCGGCTATTTATAAAGCGCATCACATCACTTTCCTCATTCTACTATTTGTTGACGTCTCGCCTGGCGCCGCTCAATCAATCGCCACATAAACAGATCGACCGATCGCCATCTATACATATATACATATATAAATAAATATTAATGCTCAATAATTTGCAATGCATCAAGCCTCGGCTCGTTCAACTGCGTTGTAAATGGCGCACACTTTGTTTCAAATTAATTTTTATGGCATTATTTAAACTGATTTATTGCCATAATTTGCGCCATTTTCACAAGAAATCAAAAATAAATGTGTTAATTACGAACAGAGCATGAAATGTGAGCTGATAATTGCAGTGAAAACTGGCATCAGAAATCACAAATTTTCTAAACATATCCCACTATTTTTCCCAGTATTTCTTTTTATGGAACTTGTTCAGCTAGATTTGCTTTTAGTTAAAAATCTTTTCAATTTAATATTTATACACATTTTTGCTGAACAAATGAAATTGAATTAAAGCGTTTTTTTGCTTTGTTTATGCAAATTAATTTTTTCGCCACAGTTGGGCACTAGAGCGAAATAGTTTATCTATTTATACAATTTTGTTTATTGAGCCAAACTGAAGAAATCAAAGAATTTAACTAGCGCAATTCAAGTGGAAGCATAAAATGCAGAGAGAGAAAGCAAATATAAAATCAAGCAAAGAATTTCAAGATGTTTATGCGATTAGCTCATAGCCACCCACATACAGTATGTTTCGATTTCGGGCACGTTTGTACGACTAGAGGTCTACTTATCTAATCGCCGCTTACGCTATCTTTATCTAAACACTTGCGCAATGCGCGCAATTAGATGAGCCAGCCCAGGTGGAATACAGGTGCCGGACGGCGTGTGGAGATGGGCTAAATGTCATGCAATTAGCAGCAATTGCAAATTAATAATCGTGTCTCGTGCGGCACTGTCAAGGACAACAAGGACTCACGCACGCACACACACACGCACACACGCACACACACATGCACACACGCACACGCTGACATATACGGAATTAGTCAACACCCACGCAACGTTGACAAACGCGCGTCCCACTTAATAGAAAATGTGCCACAGCAGAGTACTTAATCGAGGTTGGGGTTTGCGCGGATAGGAGGGGGCGATGGGCAGAGGAACGGGTGCGGGTGTGTGACTGGGTTTCGGATAGGAGGCTTCAGTCGAGATGTTCGCGTGGGCACCATAAAAAGAAAAAGAGAAAAAAAACCCATAACAATTTGCAAGCGTATGAAAAATGTATGTGAGGCAAACTTTAAATTCATTACACACACGCAAAGTTGGCCGAGAGCTGGTGGGCGTGTGAGCGAGAGGGCGCTGTGCTGGTGACAACCTCAAATGGGCAGGGCCAGGACACGAGCAAGTTAGCCAACAGTTTGCTTAAACTGCGGTCACTAAACACGCGCGGCGCCCAGTCGAACGGCATGCAATGAGACGAGCTGTGTTTTTTCAGGATAAAGATATAAGAACATACATGTACATGTACATATATAAGACTTGTATGTGTAGGGGACTTTAATCATGCATAATTCATAAGCGAAATGTTAAGCTGCCCTCAAGTTTCCAAATGAAAATCTCATGATCTCGTCACCCACTTCCTGCTGGGATATTTCTGTGTTTCATTCTCTCTCTCTCTCTCTCTCTCTCTCTCTCTCTCTCTCTCTCTCTCTCTCT